TAGCAGGAATAGATGAATAAAGAAGATAATTATTAAACTAGTTTCAAGTTGTTGCTTTTTTATTCAGAAGGAATGAAGAGGTATTCAATTAAATAAAAAATAAATGAATTGAAAATAAATAATTATTAAAATTATAAAGAAAGGTCATTTTCTTCATTTATATAAGCATTTAATATTTCTTGAATTAACGAAATGACTCTCGGGATTTTTATAGATTTCTTTTTAACTTCTAATAAAGAAGAATAAATTTGAGACGTATCTAAAATAGAAACAATAGATAATCCATCATCTGATCTTTTAACTAATACTCTTCTTAAAATTAATAAACTAAGACTTAATTGTTTCTTTGTTGTTTCATTAATACAATTACGAAGAGCAATAAAAAAAGTAAAATCATTATAATATTTTATTAATTCATCATCACCACATGCAATAAAGAAATTAATAAATGCTTTTATTGCTTCATTAGCAACAATTCCATTACTACAATTTACTAATGAATTAATAATTATTTTCATTGCATTAGTTTCATCTAAAAGAGAACAGTATTTAGTTCCATAAATTTTATCAACACATAAATTTTCAATTGCATAAAAACAAGCTTTTTGAAGTTTTAAATCATTATATAAAATAGCTTTTTGAGTAAGCCATTGAATTATTTCATTTTCATATAAAAAAGGAAAAATTATACTTTCAGAATCTTTATAAGATACAGCTCCAAGAATTATAACAAAAGAACAAGCATATTCTTTAAATAATTCATTTGAAGAAATAGAGGTAATAATTTTCCAAAGTTTAATAATAATATCTTTCATTTCATCCATAGAAATTAATTCATCTCTATCAAAATAATATCTAAATCCTATAAAACATGTATAAATAATTTGTTCATCATTTGATAATAATAATTTTTTAAAAATATTAATTACTATTTGTACAATTGAAAATGATATTAAAGGCTCACTACAAATAAGACTTCCAAGACAATCTGTACACGCTCGTATTATTTCTATTGACTTGGAAGTTTCTAATGTTTTTGAAATAAATCCTTTAAATCTTTCAAAACAATTATCTCTTAATTCTCCACCATCTGAAATAATATTATTTAATAATAATATCCCTTTTCTTTGAATTTCTTCATTTGGAGAATAATAAAGTATTTGCTCAAGAAGTGCAATAAAATTAATTGACCCTAAATTTTTTGTATATGTTGAGTCTAATGCTGTCCAATTTATTAGCACAGTTAATGTTTGTTGAACAATATTCTTATTTGGATGTGTTAATAAAATAAGTAAATCCTGAAGAACTGGAAGTGGATTACTATGACAAAAAACAAAAAGAGCATCAAGTATTGCTTTTTCGTTATTTTTTCTTTCAACGGCTTGAATTGCTGCTTGTTTTTGTTTTTCATTAAATCGGTAAATCTTCTTTTTTCTATCAACTGCACTTTCTTCAATTTCAGAAACAGTTAATCCTAATTGATCATCTTCAATAGTTCTTTTTAATGATAGTAAATTTTCCCTTTTCTTTTGTCTTAATGAAGATTGTGCTATTTCTCGATTTTTAAATGCTTGTTTAGCTGGGTTTTCTCGTATATTAGACATCCTTTTGTTATTTAATGAAATTGAAGTTTCTCTTTTTTTGTATTTATTTTGTTTTGTTTTATATAACAACAAATATCAATCTTCTTATTTTATTCGTTTTTAAGAGATAATCTTCTATAACACTCATTTACGTTTTCTTTTTCATTGAAGGTAAGTAGATATTAAAGATGAGTTAAAAGAAGAAAAGAAACAATAAAAATAACATACATTATAATAAATTGTTATAAAAAAATGAAGTTTAATAATACAAAATTAATGATGGTCATCAGTCCTTTGATTGTCATCAAAGCCTTGGTATCTTCTAACAAATTCATTTTGTTGAGTTTGTTGTTGTGGGAATTGATTTACTTGAAGTAACACTGGAAGAAACATTTCTATTTGGTCTAATCTATTTTTAAGATCAGACCATCTAACTAAATTGTTTTGTATTTCATGACGAACTTCTAATAAATCTTTTTCAATTCGAGTCATATCCATTCTTAAAGAGAACATTTTACAAACGTCATTATTTTCATTAGATTGATGAATTGAATTAGGGATAACTAATTTTTTATTTTTTTTTCTTTTAATTTTATCTAAGAATTCAGGTGCATCACGAATAAAAAATTCATGTTTAAAACAAATACCAGTTTTATATTCTAACTAATCAGTTAGTAAATTCAATCATTTAAAAAAAAACACAATAAATACAAACTTTATGAAACCCATAAATATTTAATTGACGAACAAAAGAAGAAATATTAGAATGTTTGAAATGATACGGTAATACTTCTTTTGCAAACTGAACAGGATCTGTTATAATAAATGCTTTCCCTTTATGTTCTTCACTCCAATGTATTAATGAATGATATTCAGGTGTATTAATAAGTGAATATAATTTACTAATAAATGGTGTACAATTATGTAATACATCAAATGCCATTGTTGGTTGTTTATCCTCATATTTATCTTCTTCTTTTTTTATTTCAAACGTTTTATCTATTGGTAATTCAGTTGAGTTAGAAACATATATTGTATTAGATATTTCTATTTTTGAATCAATGGGTTGTGTAAATGGATTATGTGTTTCATTACATTTAGATAACTGAATGAAGTTCTTATAGTCTGTCATATCTTCTTTTTGTATTTGAAAATTTAGTTTTGATAGTTCTTATAAATAGTATAAGTACTATTAATTATTCTTTTATTTATTTTGAGTAACTGTCTTTATTATTATCAATGAAAAAAAAAGAGCTAAAACAACTTTTCTTGTAGTGTAATATATTTTGTTTTATGACTTTATTTTCTTTAATGACTTAAAAAAATATTTTAACAAACATGAGAAAATATTAGAAAAATATGGGATAAAAAGGATATAAAAAAATAAAAAAGATTCATTAGAATGAAGAAAAAAATACAAAAAAAAAGAAAAAGTGAGAACTAGATAAGTTGAGCTGTCGTTGAGGATGTTCAAGAAAACGAAATTAATCAATATTGTACGTAATGAG